AGCCACGAGGGCCCTCAGCTTGCAAGACCTGAGCACAGGACGTTTCAGAATGAGTTCACAGGGTTGCCATAAGTTGGAAACAACCTGATGGCACAGAACACGCACACATTTTTTTTTTTAGCTGTTTCTCACAGCAGAGTAGTATGCCCCAGTTCACAATGACGACGCTGCTCGCTTGGAGAATTGGTTTTTGCATGCGCGCATGTGTTTTATTCAAAGAGAACGCCAGGAGGCCTCTGGCTGTGGCCCAGTTTGGGGCAAGGTATTAGATGTGATGGTTCCTTTCAGGTCTGCTTGCAACCCACGCAGAAACGAATCTGTTACAGCTAAAATAACCTTTGGTTAGAAGACTCTCGGAAATTACCATTTCCCCAGCCTGTTGGGCCACAAACCACAAATACCTTTTCTTGAGAATTCAATCTGTAGAAAGGAGAATCAGTCCCTCAAAAGAGTGTGTGTGTCGGCGGGGAGCAGTCCCTTCAGAGATCCCGGTGCTGGGACTGCAAACTTTCCGTCCAGATTTTGAAAATAAAGGGCAGGCGTGCGGGGTCCATTATTAATTGCTTATCCAGCATCACTGGTACATGGAGCCCTTTTCAGACAAAAGAGACCACTCCCTGTCCTAAGCAGTTCACAGACTCTGTTGGGATTTAGGTCTTTCCCTGATCTGCAAACAAAAGCGAACCCAAGGAAACGAGGTTTTAAAGATTTTCACTTTTGGGGACCCCCCTTTTCCAAGGAGCTCAAGATGGCACGTACTTCTCTTCCTTTATCGCGTCCTCACCAACAGCCCTGTGAGGTAGGCTGAGCTGAGTGTGACTGGCCCGAGGTTACTGAGTGAACGTCACGGCTGAGTGGGGAATCGGACCCAGGCCTCGCCGGTTCTAGTCAGACCCTCTGGGGGTTCTGCCCTGCTGTCTGAAAAGTCACACTGAAAAGATTCAGAACAAAGTCTTGAGTCCAGGGGCCCCTTTAAGACCAACAGTTTTATTCAAGGTATGAGCTGTTGCGTGCAAAACACGCTACTTCAGCTCTTATTAGAATGTTCTTATTTTGAGGGTTTCAACTGTTTTTAATTGTTTGTATATTGTATATGGTGTTTTGATGGAACCTGCCGGGAGCCTGCTGTGCGGGGAGGGTGGGAGACACATCCTGTCTCCGTGTGTTTGTGAACACAGAAACTCACACCTTGAATAAGACGTTGTTCTGTTCATTTTTTAAAAATATACTTTTTATTAGGTTTCAAAGTACATAAACAGAAATATGAAAGTAAAACGTTAATAATATCATTAATGAGCAACACCTTTGCTTACAATACTTTGATGGTGCTTAATAACCGGATGAGTACTCTCAGGGCTCTTTTTGTAGAAAAAGCCCAGTGGGAACTCATTAGCATAACAGGCCACACCCAACAGCAGGAACTCATTAGCATATTAGGCCACACCCCTGACAGCACAGCTCATTAGCACATTAGGCCGCACCCCCATGTTACCAGAAGTGTGGTTATCCAGCCACACCCACCTTTTGCTTGTTATTCTGTTTACCTTATTTGTTGTCCAAACCCAGGGCTTTTTTTGTAGCAGGAACTCCTTTGCATGTTAGGCCACACACCCCTAATGTAGCCAATCCTAATGAGTTCCTGCTGTTGGGTGTGGCCTATTATGCTAATGAGTTCCTGCTGGGCATGGCCAACTCAGGAGCCAGCCGGAACTCCGTTCCTGCCCAAAAATAGCCCTGACTGTACTCTATATGTGAGTTTTTAACTCAACACTGAATCAACTTTAAACAATGACCATTTTCCACAGATGAGCTTATCTGCATCTATTTTCTCAAGGAAAGGAAACCATTTATCTAGCGGGTCTAAGACTGTGCTTTCAAGCGATGATCTGTCAGTATATATTGTAAATTTTTCTAAAGCGAAATAACCCCGTACTTTCCCATGCCACTGGGCTATGGGGGGGGGGATCCCTGTTCTTCCACTGTTGTGCGAGGACTGCTTTTGCAGCCGTGAATAAGACTGTGTTGGTCTTAAAGGTGCCCCCGGACTCAAACTTTGTCCTCCTGGCTTCAGACCGACCGGAAAGAATTCACGTAGTGGATCCCACGCGGTGTGCAGATTTTGAGCCACGGGTCCCATTCAGGGTCCCACTTGCAGGATCCTGTGCTCTGCTCTGATTCGTCCGGAGCTGATTTTGCACCGGGCAAGGCGGCAGAGTTCTTGCACGGACCTGCCCGAGCAGAGGCTCCCCAAGGCTTGCTGATGTGCCGAAGAAAGCAGATCTGTTGACAGGCGAGCTAATGAATACCTGGCTGCGGGGATGTGGGGTGGGAGGGGCCGGGAGAGCCACACCTTTTACAACCCCTCCTTGCCTCCGGTTGGCGCGGCACCCTGGCTTTTCCAGCATGAGATTCCAATGGACGAGAGGCAGCTTGTCTCCATGGACGCTCTGGGGGCAGACAAGGGGAATGCCGGGGCACAGTCCTCTCCTTGAATGAAACAAACCCCTGACCTGAGCAGAATGTTAAGTAGAAACACAAGTAACAGTGACGGGTGTGCATGTGTGGGGTGTATTTTCTTTTGTGTGGGATGGAGAGTTGGGAAACATGGCCCTGGCCTGTATTGCCACCCCCCCTTGCTGATCCAGAGCTGTCCCTTCCCCATGTTTCGTAAGCCAGCCAGTGGAAGCCCTTTCCTGCCTCTCTGACCACCCTGCCACGGGCTCCCGCAAAGGGTTCCTGGCACAAAGGGTAAAAGCAACATTTCCCAGGAGTGTGGGGAGGGGATCTGCAGGGGTGGGGACCAAGGCTCCCTCTAAGTTGTGGAGTCTTGGGAGCAAAAAGTCTACTTTGTGAGCTACTGGCATTAACGTTGTGAGCGAGCCATTTGGCTATGGCATGAATTAGTTTGCTCTGGAGCCGTCCTTCCTGAGCTGAGACAAGAATGTGTGAGCCGGAGGCTAAAAAACTGTGAGCTAGCACACACTAACTCAGCTTACAGGGAACATTGGGGACCAGTGAGATGGTGTGAACGCTCACAGTTTTTTAGACTCCGGCTCACACTTTTTTGTCCTAGCTCAGGAAGGAGGGCTCCAGAGCAAACTGATTTTTGCAGTAGCCCAATCATTGGCCCACTCACAACTTTAATGCCAGCAGCTCACAAAGTAGAACTTTTCGTCACGAGACTCCACAGCTTAGAGGGAGCGTTGGTGGGGACCTTTGGGCAGGCGGGGGCGGCAACAGCAGGGATCCAACTTTGCAGCCGCCCAGCATGGACCTCTTTTGCGCTTGGGTTCCGCTGGCCGTGTGTAGTGGGGCTTCCACATCCCTGGGTCTCGGCTGAACCTCCAGTTCTGGGAACGCCCCCCCCCCCCCCGCCCCTTTGGGGAGAGCTTGCAAGGGGGATGGCAGCCCCCCGCCGCCGCCTTTTCACAAACCGTTCATGCCTCCTTGAGTTTGCCACCCCCTGCCCTCAGTTCTTCCTCACATCACCCAGAAGCCCTCAGGTCTTTTCCTACAGTGGACCTTTCTGTGGGGGTGGAGGGGAGAAGCCAACGATTAAACGTGGCTTTGGTTTTGGTGGATGGTTCTCCCCCCCCCCATCGCAGTGGGTGTGTGCTGAGATGCCATTGGCTGTGGGAGCTGGAATTGGGGGGGGGGGGTTGGAAGGGCCTGAATTGGGTTGGGTTACGGGGAAGGCAAACTGAATAGGCAAGTGGGTTGGGGCACATACGAACCTTGGAACGTTTTGTCCCACGCAGCGGCCAATCACTTAACTGCCCCAGGAGTTCTCGAAACTGGGGCTCCAGAGGCTGAAATGGCCTGTTCAGAGGTAGGCCACCTCTGAACATGGAGGCTCCACTTGCACATAGAATCAGAGTTGGAGGGGACCTCCAGGGTCATCTAGTCCAACCCCCTGCACAATGTAGGGAATTCACAACCACCTCCCCCACCACACCCCTAGTGACCCTTGCTCCGTGCCCAGAAGATGGCAAAAAACCCTCCAGGATCCCTGGCCAAACTGGCCTGGAGAAGAATTACTTCTGGACCCCAAAGTGGTGATCGGCATTTCCCTGGGCATGTAAGAAAGGGCCGCGAGAACTAAGCACTGAGGCAACCCTTCCTGCCCTCCCTCTCATGACCTGCCTGAGTTCACAAAATCAGCATTGCTGTCCGATAGCCATCTAGCCTCTGCTTGAAAACCTCCAAAGGAGGAGAGCCCACCACCTCCCGAGGAAGCCTGTTTCATTGAGGAACCACTCGCTCTAATTGTCAGGAAGCTCTTCCTTATGTCTAGCTGAAAACTTTTGCCAGTGATGCCTTTCTCCTTTATGGATGCGTGTGCTCCCATAAAACCTAGCAACCAGGCCTCCATCCTGCAGAGGTGAGTGCCAGAAATTACTTAGGCGTCATGCGTCTTTCCCCTTTTCTTGCTTTTTTGCACAGAAGCATTCTGGGGAACTTAAAACCTTGCAGGCACTCTGCATTATTTTGTGGTGCCCTATAAAATGGCACTGCAGGATTCTCCCGAGTCCAAAAAATAAATAAATCAGGAAATTCACATAGTCTAAACACCCACCATGCCTTGGGACTGTTTGTGACACAACTGTTCTGGCTGTGGCCTGCTTCCTTCTTGCCTCTTCCTGGCCTGTTCACCACAGCAGTCTAGGCTGCTCTTGGTAGCTGGGCATGCAAATAGGTCTCAGCTGCGGATGACAAATGGCTGCAGCCGTTACAAAGAGTCTGCTAAGTTCTTAAAGCAAGAGAAAGCAGTGACAGTCCTGCTATACCGTTCGTAACCGGGAGGGAGGCTTTCTTCAGAGGGGAAAGGCTGCAGTTTCCCTGAAGGGTTTCTGCATTTTTTCCAAAAGATGCAGGGGACCGGAAGGTGGCTTGAGGGACTCTAGCAAACGTCCAAAAGGAGCTTAGCTTTAAATGGGTACAATTTAGACGCTGCCTATTTGAGTGAGGCCATCCTGAGTGAACTGTTTGGTCCCTTGCAGGTACAAGAGCCTGGTGACGGGGAAGCGAGCACGGGCCCTCATCGCCGTCCTCTGGCTCCTCTCCTTCAGCATTGGACTCCTGCCACTGATGGGCTGGAACAGCTGGGAAACGGCCCGCCGGAACTGCACGGACCCCGCCAACGAGACCGAGAGGGGCGACTGCCCAGTTGTGTGCCTCTTTGAGAACGTGGTCACCATGAGCTACATGGTCTACTTCAACTTCTTCGGCTGTGTCCTCCTGCCTCTCCTCATCATGGTGGGCATCTACATCAAGATCTTCATGGTGGCCTGCAAGCAGCTCCGCCAGATGGAGCTCATGAGCAAGTCCCGGACCACCCTCCAGAAGGAGGTCAACGCCGCCAAGTCCCTGGCCATCATCGTGGGCCTCTTTGGCTTGTGCTGGCTGCCCCTCCACATCCTCAACTGCCTCACTCTCTTTGGCACAGCGAAAAACCCCCAGTGGGCCATGAACGTGGCCATCGTTCTCTCACATGCCAACTCGGTCATTAACCCGGTCATCTACGCGTACAGGATCCGGGACTTCCGGTGCACCTTCCGCAAGATCCTCTTGCGCCACCTCCTCTGCAAGGATGAGGACTTCCACAAACACCCCAGCAATGGCGGCAACGGACACGAGGTGGCTGTTAGCAATGTCAGCGCGAGCCCCGTCTGCCTCTGAGGACTGCTTCGGTGCCTCCTGCAGGCCATCACAACTGACCTGGTTTTGTATTATCGTTTTTCTGGTTGGTTTTAATGTTTTTTTTAAAAAATGCTTGTACCTCTCAGAGGAATCCTACAGTTAACTTACATGCTGTCTGAGCCCTTAATGGATCAAACTTTTTTTTTTGGGGGGGGGAGGGGAACAATACTTGTTTTCCCACTCAGTAAAGGGACATTCGAATTCCTGCTTCTGTGTGAGGGGAACAGGTTTTTCCAACTATGCTGCTTGGGGGCGGCGGCGGCAGGGGGATTGTGCTAGAATTTTTTTAAAAATTGCTTAAAAGTAAAAGCTCAGTGGTTAAGACGCTGAACTGCAGGCTGGAAGGTCAGTAGTTCATCAGTTTGAGACCCGAGTGCTGCGTGACAGAGTGAGTTCCCGTCTCTTGTCCCAGCTCCTGCCAACCTAGCAATTCAAAAGCAAGAAATTGCAAGTAGATAAATAGGTACCGCTTCAGTGAGAAGGTAACAGCATTCCATGCGCCTCGGCGTCTAGTCATGCTGGCCACATGACCATGGAAACGTCTTCGGATAGCGCTGGTTTTTCGGCTTAGAAACGGAGATGAGCACTGCAACCCTAGAGATGGATTCGACTGGCTTTCGAGCAAGGGAAACCTTTACCTTTACTAATTTACAGGGGAAGATTGAGGAACAATGTGGTTTTGTTCCTATGTGACCATTGCCCCCCCCCCCAAATAAAGTCCCGTTCCCTTCTATTTGCCTTTGTTTTTTTCTCTATTTGTAAATTTTGTCATCAGTTGTTTGATGCTACTGGTATTCTCAAATGGGAAACAGTCTAATGTAGGCCAGTTACGGTGTAAATCAATGTTCCTTCTTAAAAACAGTGGAAGAAAGTGCGTGTGTGAGAGAGGGAGGGAATTGGGGGAGGTTATTGCTCGCTCAAAGGACAGCCCTGTTGGATGTAATTTTTTTTTTTTTTAATAAAAGCAATCGTCTGGTCATTCACTTTTGGGGGGCTTTGTTGTTTTTTCTTCATGAAAGCATCGGTTTCTGAGCTCAAGGACTGATTAGATCAGGGGGCCCCATCCTTTTTCAGCCTGTGGGCACATTTGGAATTCTGACACAGCAGGGTGGGCACGGCAACAAAATGGCCGCCACAAGGGGCAGAGCCAGCCACAAAATGGCTGCAGCCGCTTTCCTTCAGTCGCACGGCATAGATCCTTGTGCTGTGGGGGCGGCTGCTGCCAAGGCGACATTTGCACAGCCAGTCGAATCGCCAGCAGGCAGCCAGAGGTCTTGCTGGCCAAAAGCCCTACCTGGCTTCACCTGCTTCCTACAAACACTTGGTGGCCACCAGGAAAGATGTCAGGGGGCACCACCCCGGAAGCCAGGCTCAGAACAGCAGAAATATTTGCCCAGGCAGATCTGAACATGGGTGAATTCTGCTCTGGAGCCCTTCGTTTGCATAATTCACTCTCATTTTGCCAGAAGGTGAGGACAGCGGGAATCTCACTCAGACGTCCGCTCTGACTGATCTTGCCTCCACACTTACAAAAAGAGGACACGCACCGATCAAGTCCTCCTGGCTTCACAGTCCCACGGGGGCTAGAAGCGTGCCGGAGTCTGCACCCACCTCCAACTCCTGTGCTTTCCACGTCCCCTCGCTCCGTATTTGGAAACACGCGGAAGCTGGAGGTGTGGGAGCTCTCTGGGAATACCATCGGAACCCAGAGCGCAAGGGATACGTGCACGGTTTAATCCGGTGTCGTTGCTTTAAAAATGGTGCATTGAAGATAGATGCTCCGGTGCCTTGCAGGGGCCACTAGGGCGGAGGACAAGGAAGCAGAAGAAAAAGCAGTCCCATGGAACCCAATCTCCCCACCCCACCCCCAGTTTGGGTTCCCCCCTCCTGTAGCCAGATGCCCGGCTGCGAAGCCTCACTCCTGTCTCTCTCTAACTCAGGCTGTCCTCCATCAGTAAGAGGCTGGTCAGCTGCTTGTTGGAAACGGTGAGCTCCTGGCACGTGCCCAGGGCCTGGCTCAGGTAGACGGCGAGAAGGTGCTTGCACTGCAAGAGAGAGGGAAGGAGCCACGTTAGCTGTGGGGCTTCGCTGGCTTGCCTCACAGGGAGGCAGCCACACTGGTCTACTTTCTGTCCCTCCAAAAGTACTGCCAGCTGTCCCCTGGGTTGCCTACTTGAGTTAGCCATGAGGATTGCGACAATGTGCAGAATCTGGCAAGCTAGGTTTGTCCAGCCGAACTTGGTGTTGTTCGACTGCCATCTCCTCCTCTAACGGGGCTGTAAAGATTGGGGGGGGGGTGCTGTGCCGTAGCTGAAGGCATGTAAACAGCCTTGAATGACTCTGGGTGCTTCCTCGGTGGGGGCCAAAGGAGAGGAAGTGGGCTCCCATCAAAGCTTGGGAAGAAGATGACCCCACTCGGCTGAGGGGAGGAGGCCGAGATGCCTGTTAGCATTTGGAGTGGGGGTGTGCAAAAAAAAAAATATTCGGGTTCTTTTGGATCCGGGTCTGTTGGACCTGAAAAATATTCGCACATCCAAATGTGCCCAAATACTAATATCAGTATTACACTGGTATTCGCATCAATATTCAGGAACCCAAATATATTCAGATCCATTATACCCTATGGGGACTGTCCCCAGAGTATAATAGAGAATTTCACTTGCTGAGCCATGCCCCAACACGACTCACGAGTGAAGGAAAGGTATTTCCCCTGGGGCTTGTGCACCCTCTGCAGGGCAACTCCCCACAAAGGGGAGGTATTTTAATTTTAAATATCTCCCCTTCCCTCTGGGGCTCCTGCCGCCTCCGTGGTGCAACTTTAAATACCTTCCCTTCACCGGGGAGTTGTACAGCAGGGGCCACAGGACTCCGCGAGTCGCTGAGCCCGAATAAAAGCCAAATAATATTGGCTTTTATTCAGGGGTGGCTACTTTGGTAGCTGAATATAAATCTCTGATTTGTATTCTGCAGAATAAATACCTGAGAAGTACTGATAAGGTATTTTTCAGGTATTTATTCAGCTTGGTATATACCAAGTGCACACCCCTGCTTTGGAGCAGATGGAGAGACCTGTGAGTTGGTTGAAGCACTCTGTGTGTGTGTGCACATGCACACAGGATCTCTCTGGGGATTTGATGTGCAGTAGTGGATCTGCTGCCTCTGCACCTCCACCTGCTCACAAGGACAGTGCAAGACACCAGCACTTTCTTCTCTAAAGAGAATCAGCCCATGTGGTGGTGGCCCTGGAACTTCTCATCACTCGGGAATGTGAGGAGCCCTGAACATTATCATTTAACTTCAGTTGCATCTTCCATGGCATGCTACGAACAGACTTATGGCTGTGAGCAAACATCACCCTGAGAAAGGCAAGAAATGCTTGAGTCTTACAGAGCCATATCCACAGACCTCCTCTTGCCACTGCAAATAAAGGCCGTGAAGAGCACTTTGATTGAAAAAAGCCCTACTTTTTTTCATGCCAATGCAAACCCTGAAAGCAGTTAAGTGCAAGAACATGCTCCTATAATGTATTTATTACCTACTTAATTTATTAGCTGCCTTTCTTCCTTCAGGAGCTCGAGGCGGCTTACAATATTAATTAACCAAATAAAACTGAAATCTTAGATTATGATTTAGGGCTGCTTGAATCAAATGCAGTTCTAAATAAAGCAGCCTTCAGTTGCCTCCTAAGGATAAAAAGCGAGGGGGCCAGGTGCACCTCCCTGGGGACGTTGTTCCATAATCGTGGGGCTGCCACCGAAAAGGCCCTCTCTTGTGTATCCACCAAACGAGCTTTGATTGACAGGGCAGTCAGGAGGGCCTCTCCCTGTGATCTTAATTCCCAGGCAGGAACATCTGGGAGAAGATAGCCCCTCAGCAGCTGTCGATTCTTGTGCTCGTTCAACAGAACTTCCAAGTGTGGAAGGAGCATCACTCAGACTGTCAGATGATGGAGATAAGCATTCAGAGGAATTCTCCTGACTTCATGACTTTCTGGCTGGCACGAAGAGACTCTATGTTATGGAAACTCTGTGTTAGGGGCTGTGGCTCAGTGGTAGAGCAGAAGATCCTAGGTTCAATCCCCGGCATCTCCAGTTGAAACAGGCAGTAGGTGATGTGAAAGACCTCAGCCTGAGACCCTGGAGAGCTGCTCCTGGTCTGAGTAGACAAGACTGACCTTGATGGACCAATGGTCTGATTCAGTACAAGGCAGCTTTATATGTTATCGGGGCTAAATGGAGCCTCCCTGGACAGAGGCAGCTCCTCACACAGGCCTGTAGCTATGGTGGGGCTTTTGGGGGCTCTGCCTCCTTTCTTAAAGACACAACCCCACAAGAATTTCTCCTGTAAATGCTTTTTTGAATAATTTTAAAACATTTTTTTAAAAGGCGTGCACTCTTTTAAGCAGAGTGGGGTGCTGTAGTTGACTAATTCCTGCACTGAGCAAGGGGGCTGGAGTAGGTGACCTCTAGGATCCCTTCTAACTCTGTGTCAAGAAACTGGTCTCCTTTAAGAGAGTTTTTCTGCCTAAGTGTTAGCTTTCTTGACTATAGAAGTCATCATCCCTACCTGCTTGTTATCAGAACTGTTGCTTAGTCTGGCAGAAATTATTACATTGCAGCAGCTGAGAACTGTCATCTAAAGTGGTTGACAGCTTGCAATTTAGAGATCTATCCTGGTAGCAGCTTGCTATTGGCTAAATGGTTAAGAACACCTATGTAGAATAGACAGCTTGAGAAGACTCAGAGAGAGAAGAGACTGCCTTGAATGCTCTCTTCAACTTCCACTCTGCTGCTATGCTTCCAGAGACTCTGCTCATCAGGAATGCTAGTTGAGATGCGAGAGCTCCACGCCTGATAGGAAATGTAGTGAAATAGCCAGCTAGGTTTTTTGTTTTGGTTTGCATTCCTTGCCGAACTGTACACACTATTTCCCCTATCTATGTGTGGTTTGTCCTTTGCTTTTGTAAATAAAGTTTGATGTGTTTTTATACAAATTGGAGTGAGTTTACTGGCCAAACCTAGATAAGTATTTCCAGTGCCACACCTACCGTTTACCAGAAAATTTTTCAGCCTGCTATTGACACACTCTGAGGCTAAGATTTGCAGAAGCCTCTATGCTTTGATTTTAAAAGGCTTGATTCCACAGTAGCTGAGTCATAATCATCAGAATTCTGGCTTTTCTTTCTGTACTGAGAATTTCAGCCCCACAAGAAAAAAAAATTGCCCCACAAGCCACAAAATCCTGGCTAAGGGCATGTTCTTATCGTAAAAACAATGTTCTCATGCATCATGAGCTTTACTGGCAGGGAAAGTCCCATCGCTTTCCTGCTTTTTGTGTCTAAACTTCCAGAGGCTGTGGGCCAACCACTGATGAAAGCAGGATCCTGAGCTCACTTGGGCCTGATCCAGCAAGGAACTGCTTCCAACCCTGTGACGCATATCCACGTGTACGACAGACTCCTCTCTCTGCCTCCTCACTGAGTCGTTGCAACACTCTGGGTTCCTCTGTTGCAAAAGTCAAGACGACAGCACCACGAGAGGGAGAGAGAGAGAACACACACCCCTTTGCTGAAAGCTCCCCCCACTTCCCACCTGAATCACTCACCAGCAGACTGTCGCTCTTGCGCAGGACGGAGAAGGCGAAGGCTGGACAGGAGCAGAAGTGGCAGGAGGCATAGCAAGTGTAGAGCTTGCCGGAGCTGCCGAGCACCTGTGAAAAACAGAAATGAGAGCAAAAGATGAAAGCCTGGCCGAGCGGGGATGGGACGTGGGCCTCCCCCCCCCCAATGTGGTGAGGCACACAGGCTTGGCTTCTGCAACGCCTAATCCTCTTTCTGTTGCTAGTCCTGCCTCAGGAAATTTCTGAAAGCAGAGAAGGGACAGAAAAGGATTTCCAAGGGGTGGGTGGGTGGAAATGTACCTTCCGTGTCCTCCCCCCCCCAACTAGCAAAACCAGGCTAAATGACAAAAGCATTAACACAAATAGGTGGGTTGATTGCTGATCATAGAATTTCATCTTTTTTGTAAGTGCCCCTTGCCCTGTCCGTAAGGGACATTTGCCTCATCCGTTGACCTTTGGATGCCAGCCTTTAGGGGGTCCCCCTTCCCTGGCTGCAGCACCTGCTGGGCATGGGTTGATTTGCAGAGGACTGGAAGGTGGCTGGCCTCTTCCCTTGAGGCTTATTCAGCGGGTCCTGCCCAGCGCCTGGTCTCCACGACATCAAGTCACGCATAGGGTGTGCCATAAACAGGAGAAGCTGTACAAAAGCTATTGTCAGCGCATCTGAGCGCTTTTCTTTCAACAGCAGATCTCGCTCTCCCTTCAGTGCCATATCACGAACTGTTTCTGAAACTCCCCGTAAATTGCGAGTAGGCGCAGCCAGAGGAAATTCTTGGGCCTGTGGGGGTTAAGAGGCACGGATCTTGAATCTCAGCCAAGTAAGATACTCCAGCTTTCTCATGCAATGAAGCCCAGCTATGTATTCATGGGAAAAACAGGAAACTTCCAAAGGCAACAGCTAAATAGCAATGAGACCAGGGGTTCTCAAGCAATGCTCCCTCTAAGCTGTGGAGTCTTGTGAGCAAGAATTCTACTTTGTGAGCTACCAGCATTAAAGCTGTGAGCCAGCAATTTGGCTACTGCATGAATTAGTTTGCTCTGGAGCCATCCTTCCTGAGCTGAGACAGAAATGTGTGAGCCGGAGGCTAAAAAACTGAGCTAGCTCACACTAACTCAGCTTAGGGGGAACACTGTTCTCAACCCTTTTCAAGTCTGTGGGGACCTTCACAATCCTGATACGGTGCGGGGGGACGCTCTGCAAGAGGGCAGAAGAGCAGGGTGCCAGCCACCTACCCCGCCAAGGGGTGGGGGTGGAGGAAACTGTGGGGGAGGGGGCAAAACACACACACACACACACACACACACAACTGTCTGCCTGAAGCCAGAAGCCACAGACAGTATTTCAGCCTGGCAGGTTTAATACTCCTGCTCTCTGGGGCAGTCTGCCATAAGACAATAAGTGATTAAAATGAAAGCCATTTTTTTAAAAAAATGACAAAAAAACACACAGGATGTGAACAGAACAGAAGTAAACAAACAAAGCGGAGGCAGGGAAGGGAATGCTGGAGGGAGCGCGGCAGGAGAGGGGTTGGCTAGTCCGCCAAAGCCTCTTGCTTGGAACCTCCAGGAGCGTTCTCCGCTGGAACCCTTGGCTGGCCCTGCTCCGTGGCTGCCCAGCTCTCCCCGATACCCACAGAAGGATCAACGGCCAGAAGGGAAGAAACGCAGAGGCCGACGACCCCTCTGCCATCCGGTGGCCAGGGAGGAGAGGGATCCGCACAGACGTCTGCTTGCCAATATGCCAGGCGATCCATTCTGAATGGGGTGAGAGTCTCTTTCGCCACCGGTTCCATTTGGACGTTTGGTCTGTACCGTAACAGTCTGTTATCGTTCTGTGGTCCAGCTCTGCTTTCCCTTGCAGCTGCCCAATTGTCCATCACGGATATGCCCCCCCCGCCACAGATGCTAGGATCAGATGACCTACAACTGCCAATCAACTGCATAGTTTGGCCCCAGGTTGTAGGAAAGAGACAGCAAAAGACAGGGTCTATACCTCCTCGTGCCCAGGACCAGGACTCCCCGAAGGAAACACACAATTAGTTTATGGAACTCACTGCCACAGGATGTTGCTGCCTCTGGCTTAGAAAAATTAGCCACTGAATTTGGGGAAGAGGAGCCTATTGAGGGTAATTCATCCAGACGAATAGACAGAAGCCCCACGGACAAAGACCAGCTCCTCGAGGACAAGTAAGAAGGGAGGGTATGCAGAGAGCCATCTGGCGGGCCACTGTCGAAAATCAGAGGCTGAATTGCATCTGACAGGCCTCTGATCTGATTCAACAAGGCGGTCCTGAGATCATCCATGATGCCAGGCATCAAGTTCTTGCTGTGGGGAGCGATGGAGTCCCCTGTTCCTTGGCGGAAAGACCAGGGCTTCAAAGTTCTCCCAACCAGCCTTTGCAAGTATCCTCCTCCACCCGCGTGGCTCCCACCCCATTCTCTGCTACCCGAAAGAGCTGCCCATAGGCCTTGTGACTTTTAGAGAGCCAGTTTGGTGCAGTGGTTAAGTGCGCGGACTCTAATCTGGGAGAACCGGGTTTGATTCCCCACTCCTCCACTTGCACCTGGCTGGATGACCTTGGGCAAGCCATAATTCTGGCACAGCTGTCCTTGAAAAAGAGCCTTTTCTGTCAAGAGCTCTCTCAGCCCCACCCACCTCACAGGGTGTCTGTTGTGGGGAAGGGAAGGGAGAGGAGTTTGTCAGCCGCTCTGAGACTCCTCTGGGTAGTGAAGGGCGGGGTATAAATCCAATCTCTTCCTCTTCCTCTTCTTTTAGTGGGCCAATCCTGGCTGCCATATTCTTTTCCGATCCTGACACCAGGATCCACCAGGACCAGCAGTCACACAGGGCCAGCAGTGACACCAAGACAATAGATCTGTGGGTGGACTGGCCCACCCAAAACTCAAGCCGTGCTTGAGAACAGACCTGTCCTTAGTCCTTAGGAGGCATGCGGAAGCCCCTCCCTCCCGACTTCTTTCACAACCACCCCGAGGCAGGCTTTTGGCGTTGTTTCAGCTTGCCGGAGACATCCGCTGCTTCAGTCTGAACACGGCCCGCTTTCTGGGCAGACTCTTCATCTAGGGATTGGCAGGTTTTACAGATTGCCCCCCTCCCTACTTATCGCTGTTCTCGCGTCACAACATCCCTCTGAGATCATGTCTCAGTCGACGGGGAGACATTTTAATCCAGCTGGGATGAGTGACGCTCCGTGGCAAGGGGGCCCAGCCATCCCTTCCGGCCTGAGATCAGGGGAGGGGGTCATGAAAAGTTTGCACGGGACACGGCCTGTCTCGCCCCGCTTGAGATGGGACAGACTGAGCCAGTTCCACTTCTGATTATTTAGAGATGCCTAACATACGAAGGAAAACACTACAACATCAGAAACACTCGGCGATCGACACCAACCCAGAGAATCTCAAATGGGCAAGTGCTGTTCAGAGTATCCTCGAGAGCCCTATCGTAGCAGGAAATGACTACTTGAAAATGGAACTGAAAGGTCATATTTTATTTACATCTTAAAAGAAGAAGAGGAGATTGGATTTGTATTCCACCCTTCACTACTCAAAGGTGTCTCAGAGCGGCTTAGAAACTCCTTCCCCTCCCCATGACAGACACCCTGTGAGGTAGGCAGGGCCGAGAGAGCTCTGACAGAAACGGCTCTTTTTCAAGAACAGCTCTGACAGAACTACGGCTTGCCCAAGGTCATCCAGCTAGGTGCAAGTGGAGGAGCGGGGAATCAAACCCGGTTCTCCCAGATTAGAGTCCGCGCACTTAACCACTACACCAAACTGGCTTAAAGGTACACCCCTCCTTTAAGAAAAACTTTCAAGGTAGCTCAGAGCACAGCAGTTTAAAAAAAAACCAATAATGTAAAGCGGCAAGACATGAACATGGGAACAGGGGAGGTGGAAAGAAACTCTGCCTGGGGGGCTGGGGGGGGGCTTTGGGCAGCCTTGCGAATAGTACAGGATTGTACCTGATACACAGTCCTTCCACTAGGAGACACGATCCGTGTGACCGATTGGTGATCGACCAAGTCCAAAGCAGGGACGGCAGAAGCCCCAAAAACGAATTTAAGCCTAGAAAGAAAGAAGCCACTGTGTTTGGTTTGCAAAATGCTGTTTGATACTGGACTTTAACATGAAAGAACATAAGAAGAGCGCTGCTGGATCAGACCAATGGTCCACCCAGTCCAGCATCCTGTCCCACACAGTGGCCAACCAGGTCCAACAACAGGGCAAGGAGGCCGAGGCCTTCCTCTGATGTTGCCTCCTGGCACTGGCATTTAAAGGTTTACTACCTCTGAATGTGGAGGTTCCCTTTCGTCACCATGGCTAGTAGCCCCCGATAGCTCTGTCCTCCATGAATCTATGTCTATGCCTGTACTCATCACTTCATCCTCTGGCAGCAAATTCCACATTTTAATCACTTGCTGTGTAAAGAAGTATTTCCTTTTTGTCAGTCTTCATCTACGGACTATCAGCTTCATTGGATGCCCTCAAGGGAGAGGGGGGAAAGTTCTCTTTGCCAACTCCCTCCACCCCCCGTGCATAATTTTATAAACCTCTATCACGCTCCCCCCTCGTCATCTCTTTTCTAAACCGAGAAGTCCCAGACTCCTCAGCCTTTCCTCAAACAGAAGGCGCCCCAACGCCCTCATCATCTTGGGGGTGCCCTCTTTTGAACTTTTCCTAGCTCTGTGATACCCTCTTTGAGATACGGTGACCAGAACTGCACCCAGCATTCCAAATGAGGTCGCACCATAGATCTATACAGAGGCATTATAATACCGGCCGTTTTATTTTCAATCCCTTTCCTAATAACCCCAACACTGAGTTTGCCTTTTCCACTGATCAGTGTCTCAATTTAAATGTGCGATTTTTATGGGTATTAGATTACAGGGTAGATTATTATCCGTGTTGAGCGTGGGATACAGTGACGTTTGCCAACGGCCGGTAGGGAAATTCCTGAGATTTGGAGGATGAGTTTGGGGAGAGAACTCGGCAGGGTTGTGATGCCGCAGAGCCCACCCTCCGTGGCTGTCTTTGTCTCCAGGGGAACTGCCCTCGGTAGTCTGCAGATCAGTCATAATTCTGGGAAAATCCCAGGCCCCACTTGAAGGCTGGCAACCACAGATACGATTGATCCAAATAGAAAGGGAAGTAAAAGGGAAGTAAAAGGTTTCCCTTGCTTGAAAGCTAGTCGAATCTGACTCTAGAGGGTGGCGCTCATCTCTGTTTCCAAGCCGAAGAGCCAGCGCTGTCCGAAGACGTTGCCATGGTCATGTGGCCGGCATGACCAAACACTGAGGCGCATCGAACGCTGTTACCTTCCCACCGAAGCGGTATTTATTTATCTACTTGCAATTTCTTGCTTTCGAACTGCTAGGCTGGCAGGAGCTGGGGCCAGAGATGGGAGCTCGCTCCGTCATGCGGCACACTCGGGTCTCGAACTACCGAACTACAGACCTTCCGGTCTTCAGCTCAGCATCTTAACCTCTGAGCCACCGCGGCCCCTTAGAAAGGGAAGGGGCTGCCCTAATTTGGCCCCTTAGAAAGGGAAGGGGCTGCCCTAATTTGGCCACAACCAAATCGCAGCTGTTTGGATGTGAGAGAATCAGAGCTGGGGCTGTGCCTGACTGCCTCCATAGATAATGGCAATGGAGGCCCCTCCCTGTGATGTCACTGGGCACCTGGCTCCTTCAAGGACGTAGCAAAACAACAACTCTGCCCCAGCACACACACACACCCCGTAAATTGGAAAGTCTACGCCGGGGTGGCCAAACTGCAGCTTGGGAGCCACATGTGGCTCTTTCACCCAGTTCAATTTAATGTTAATAAAAATCAAATTTGCATATTTTCCAATTAAAAATGTGTGTGTGATATTCGTCCGTGTCTTGCGGCTCTCAAACATCTGGCTTTATTCTGTGTGGCTGTTACGTTAAGCAAGTTTGGCCACCCCTGGTCTACGCCTATGTGCCTGAGTCAAATTAAGACCACTTCCAGAGAGCCAAGCAGAAAAACCTTGGGAAAGTTAAGATTCAGGCGGGTAGCCGTGTTGGTCTGAAGCAGCAGAACAAAGTTCGAGTCCGATGGCATCTTTAAGACCAACAAAGCTTTATTCAGACTTTAAGACTTCATGTGCATGCACATGTCTTCAGATACATCGGAATGGAAGCTACCAGGCCATACATATAGGTAGAGGGTAAGCAGCAAATTAGCACACAGCATATTGAAGTTGGTCCTTGCATCTGTCAAACCACTTTAATATGCTGCAGGCTATTTTGCTGCTCACCCTCTACCTGTCTGTATGGACTGAAGAAGTGTTGCATGCACACGAAAGCTTATCCCTTGAATAAAACTTTGTGGGTCTTAAAGGTGCCACTGGGCTTGAACTCTGTTCTTGGGAAAGCTGTTTGCTTTTTCTCTTTTCTTTCCACCCTGCGAGGTGTGCCCAGGTTGTCAGACTAGAAACAGGTTTTCTGAGCTACGACCTTGTCTGGAAAACAGAAGAAGTGCTTGCTGATTTCACAGGGGAACAGTCTTTCTGCCACAGAGCAGCCTCTTGTGTTGCTGCCTCTGTCCTGTGCCAGGAGGAGCCATACAATTAGCAGAGGATCACCTGAAAGAATCGGAAACTTAGCAGCTATTTTTGGCTAGTACATCCGACTGGTTCAATAAAGGATTTTGTGAGCAGGAGACTCGCCGGGTGAGCAGTGCACAATAAGCCATGTTCGTCTGCAGTGACAAACGCTAAACCCCCCAAAACAGGGAAAAGGACTGATTTAAAAACAGCACCAGAAGGATGCGTTTCTATTCTGGGAAGAACAGCTCTAATTCCACCCAAGAACCCAGGACACAGAACTCCAGGGATTTTCATTCTTACTCAGTGCAACTGACCCTAATCTCTGCATCATCGCAACGGACAGCCTGGCAGATGCGCTTATCCCTAACGGCTGGGAATGGGGAGGCAGAAAGGACAAGGAAAGATTTGCGCCGCTCCCAAAGGACAGCCACCTGGAAAAAGCGCTCGAGGAGGTCTGAAGGCCTTGCAAGCCTGGCCGGTTTAGGACAGGATTCTTCCTGCTCTTTCATTTCACTTTTTAAAGGGCTTTTTGTCTCCGCACCACGACAGGAAGTCAGATGCCAAATCAAAAGGGAACAGCTGCCAGGAGGAAGATCCAGAGGGGAGATGTGGGAAAGGAATCGGAAGAAGCTGCAAGCCAAGGACGTGCTCGAGACCATTCTCTGTGTTAAGGGCCCCCTTGTTGTCCAAAGGCAATGACGAACAGGAGTGGAAAAGCACGCAAGGGGCCCATACTTGGATTTCTGTTTTCTCATTGAGAAACCAAAGCCCTGCATAAATCCTGCCCCACCAAACTTAGTCTTTGGATGTGATCTAAACCAGCCTACACTTGACCTCTCCTGTTCTCCTTTCTGAGACTTTAAGAAGAAGAGAAGAGATTGGATTTATACCCCGCCCTTCACTACCCGAAGGTGTCTCAGAGCGGCTTACAAACTCCTTTCCCTTCCCCTCCCCACAACAGACACCCTTGTGAGGTCGGTGGGGCTGAGAGAGCTCTGACAGAAACTGCTCTTTTTCAAGACCAGCTCTTATCAGAGCTACGGCTTTCCCAAGGTCATCCAGCCAGGTGCAAGTGGAGGAGTGGGGAATCAAACCCGGTTCTCCCAGATTAGAGTCCGCGCACTTCACCACTACACCAAACTGGCTCTCTTTAAGAAAAACCCATCCATCTATTTCTAGGAGATGCTTCAATAAAATCCATGAGGACTAGTAATAAGCTGAGACCAAGATGGGCAGCCAGTCAGCCACGTTGGTCTTTCTGTAGCAGTAGAAAAGAGCAAGAGTCCAGGAGCACCTTCAAGACTAACAAAACTTGCTGCAAATTTTGTTAGTCTTTAAGGTGCTACTGGACTCTTGCTCTTTTTTTACTGCTAGCACTAATAAGCTTGTAATTATTATTTTTTTTAAAGAGAAAGCTGCTGACACAGCCCAGCTAAACCACTGAAAAAAGCAGGTGTGGAATTGTGTAAAGGGTCTTGCACTGACACAGCATCAGAGATTCGTAGCACTGCATCAAGGATGCTGCATACCAGCAGAGCTATGCAGAACGGCCCCAGTGCTCAGTGCGAGCCTTTACGTCAGTTCACTTATGGGAGTAGAGGGGAGCAGTGTCATTAGATGCTAGTGTCTTCTCCCCCCCACCCCCGCGTGCCAGCCCCCCAGGCTCTGCTGATTCATGGACCTCTTCTGCAGCCACTGCTGTCAAAAAGAACAAAATTTCACGGTGCAGAGGACCAAAGGAACTGGCAGATGACTGAACAAGTAGTGGTCACGCAGCCTGGAAAATGGAACTCATGTTCTAGCTGAGAAACTAGTGGAGGAGGAGGAGGAGGAGGAGAGATTAGATTTATACCCTGCTTTTCACTACCTGAAGGAGTTTCAGAGCGGCTTACAATCTCCTTCCCTTCCCCTCCCCACAACAGAGACCCTGTGAGGCAGGTGGGGCTGAGAGAGCTCTGAGAGAACTGCTCTTGAGAGAACAGCTCTGGGAAAACTGTGACTGACTCAAGGTCACCCAGCTGGCCGTGGAGGAGTGGGGAATCAAACCCACACCAAACTCAACCAGCTCGAGGCAACGCCTCATGGCCAATCAGGAAGCACACTCAGAACTGCGACTCATGGAGACCCAAGGTGGGGCTCCTCTGGGCAGGCATTTCTGCACTTACACATTCCACTGGTAAATCTTTAGGGGCAGAAGAGTAAGGTGGGCCCTTGAGTGTAATTGGGACACAATCAATGTTCCCTCTAAGCTATGAAGCCCTCTGAGCAAAAATTCTACTTTTGTGAGCTACTGGAGTGAAAGGTGTGAGCAGGTGATTTGGCTGCTGCATAAATTAGTATGCTCTGGAGCCATCCTTTGTGAGGGAAGACAAAAAGGTGTGAGCTGGAGGCTAAAAAACTGTGAGCTAGCTCACACTAACTCAGCTTAGAGGGAACACTGGACACAATGCCCTTCTGTGATCACAAATTCGATTTGTTACAAGGTTGACAGAGATAAGCACAAGCGAAAGGCTCAGAGCAACGGCTCTAAGTGCGTTCAGTGACAAAGAGCCACAAAGCGGGTACTCACGCGGAGAGGAGGTCATCGGGGACTGCAAAAGAGAAGAGAAAACTACGTTACACTTTGTGCTCAAGTTGAAGATTCGTGTGCACTGAGGCCAGTTGCCTAGATCCCGTCACACTCTGGTATGGCCAAAAAACAAGACCTCCGATGGGGACGGTGCTGAAGAAGTGGGCAGGCTCTGCAAAGCCGGAGTGGATGCAGGGCTCAGTGGGGGCAGAGATAATCCCACACCCCACCGGTGCCCCTTGAGGGCCCCCTTGCCTTCCTCCCAGATGGGTAAGTGCCTGCCATTCATTCCTGGGTTGCTTTGGAGGAGGGCTTTGCAGGGAGAGCAGAGGACCTGCCTGGCCAGCACACCCAAAGGAGTCCCTCGGCGGGAAGCAGCACAACCCTGTCCGCAGAGCCAGCCGGCCCCTGTCCTTGCTGCAAAGGAGCACCTGCAATTTCCAAGCCCACCCAACCAGAGGGGGAGAGCTCGTGTGACTTTTCCTGCTTTACCCACAATGCCCCTCAAAGGTTGCACCCAGTGCACTTCTTCTGAGAGCAGGAGCAGCATCTAACTCCCCATGCTCCAAGATTAGTCCTGGGTTCTTGCACCGGCTGCTGTTTCTGAGGGAGCAAGCCTAAGCAGAACTGCTTGTCTACTCAGAAGTAAGTCCCTCTTTACTCATTGGGGCCTACTCCCAGGAACAGGTTTAGGACTCCAGACTACACGCCGCAAGCATGCCTCAGACTTCACCCACCAAACACGTGCCGTTACATTCATGGTAGTTTTAAAGACGTGAACCAGCAAGGCCAAGAAACTTGTCCTTTTCCTTCGGGGATGAAAGCTGGGCTTTGCGGAGGCCTGGAACCTTTAAAATTGGTCCCCGGCCATAACTAATTCAAGCCACTAATTAGTGGGCAAGGCTAAACACAGGAAAGTGTTCATTTGGGGGGCTGTTATAGGTCTTCTGATGTTTTGTGGTAATCAGGAACAGCACAGAGAGTCTCGCAATTTATTAAACGTTTGGTTCATCTCCACACACTGTTGTGATATCTTCGGAAAGCCATGAAGTGGAGGTTTTAGTATATTCAAGGGGCCGTGAACGAGAACTTTCCTAAGAAGAAGGTCCACTGCATAGACTTAAGTAGGATTCTGAGCAGCCTTGCCTAAGATTGTCCTCAAAAGCTATTACAAGGCAGGTGGTCAGTCAATGAGCGCTCTAAGAACATAAAAGAGGCCATGTTGGATCAGGCTGTGAAGACCCCCCCCCTTTGAGTTTTAAAAGTGTGGTTTCCCCCCCTCCTCTCTGGAAGTGACAGGAAGCAAGTTCAATTGCCTGCTAGATTACATCTATACATATGCTAATTGGCCAGGTAGATAAACTAACTAAGGAATTTGGTGCCAGGAAGTCTCCAGGTGATTCCTGGAGATTTCCCAGAAGGACTTCCTGTAGGGTTCCCAGGATGCACCTGCGATCTGGGTGGACCGGTTCAAGAGGGTGGAGGGAGTGAAGTTAAGGGATGGAGACACAGGTCTGATAAAAAGCCCTTGCTCCGAGGAGGAAGTGTCTCTTGGTGTTGATTCTTCAAAGGGAAAAGACTTCCCTTCGAATGGGACTAGATGGGAACCTTGTAGCTTTTAAAGATCATTAGTGCCTGCCCTATTTCAGCATCAGTTAGAGTATGTCTAGAAAAGGGAAAGAGGACTGTGTCGATGACCACTTTTCTATTGACATATGTTTGCTGATCTAGTGCTGTACTTAAGGATGCTTATAAATATTTTCTTTTAAATAAATCTTTTTTGACTTTGGAGGTTGGTTCTCAGGCTCTGTACCACCTAGATCCCCCCACTGTCTTGGACATGCTAGTGCAAGAGGGGCCCCTGGGTTGAGAAGAAAGCAGTCAGTGTGCATGCGGCTGTTTCTCCAGGGGAGCCCCAAAGTCGTAATTGGACCCCATGGTAACCAGGCTCTGGGTAACAGAGGACAGAGAGGCAGGGCCTCGGGCTGGAAAGGGGGGGGGCTGGGGTCCTGTCCCTCCTATGAAGAACCCCCCCCCCAAAAAAGGACAGGTGGTAGCAGTGAGTTGCCCTCGTGGAAGAAAGAAAGAACCCCCTTCAGGAGTTGGCAACGCCAAGGAGGGGTGGGCAGGGTCTGCAAGTCAAAACAGGCCTGTTCCGTCATACAGGCCAGTGGCCCATCCAGTCCAACACTCTGTCACACAGTGGCCAAAACCCAGGTGCCTTCAGGAGAGTGCCAAAACTCCAGAAACCCTCCCACTGTTGCCCCCCAAGCACCAAGAATACAGAGGCTCACTGCCACAGACAGAGTGTTCCATTTATTCCTTGTGGCTAATGGCCACTGATGGACCTCTGCTCCATATGCTTATCCAATCCCCTCTTGAAGCTGTCCATGCTTGTAGCTGCTACCACCTCCTGTGGCAGTACATTCCATGTGCTAATTACTCTTTGGATGAAGAACTTCCTCTTACAGATTCATAAACTGACAACCCTAAATGCTTACAGTTTGTAACTCTGAACATCCCCCCCTTCCCCGGACTTTGATCACAGAAGAGGGTGATAAGACCAAAAGGGATTCCGGGATTCAGTTACCCCAGAGCAGTATTCAGAACAGTTTATTTCACATAAAAACTATTTCTGCTATAATATTTTGCTCTCTGAGCTTCAGTTTGAGGTGATTTCTACTTGGGAATGGGCTTATATAGTTTCTCTGTTGCAGTTGTGGCTGCAGATAAAAGGGCAGCACCAACTGGGCTTCTATACAGCAGGTTTTCCTGCATTTCCATTGCCCCAGCAGAGGCCATCCCCCCTTCCTTTGGGCCATGAGGGCTTTTGCAAGTTAAAAAAAAATGGCACTAGAGTATAATTACATTGATTTACCATCGTCGCAACAGATGTAACAAGGTTCTCTGAATTCCCAGATCTTTTTGTTGTTGTTGTTCAGTTGCACAGTCGAGTCCGACTCTTTGTGACCCCATGGACCAGATCACGCCAGGCCTTCCGGTCTTCCGCTGTCCTCTGAAGTTTGCTCAATTTCATGTTCGTTGCATCTATAACACTGTCTAACCATCTCATCCTTTGCCGTCCCCGTCTTCTTTGACCTTCAATCTTTCCCAGCATCAGGGTCTTCTCCAGTGAGTGCCCCCTTCTCATTTGGTGGCCAAAGTATTTGAGCTTCAGTTTCATTATCTGGCCTTCCAGGGAACAGTCAGGGTTGATTTCTTTTAACATTGACTGATTTGTTCTTCTTGCAGTCCAAGGGACTCTCAAGAGTCTTCTCCAGCACCATAGTTCAAAAGAATCTATTCTTCGGCGCTCGGCCTTCCTTATAGTCCAACTCTCACAGTCATACATGACTACTGGGAATACCATTGCTTTGACCATGCGGACTTTTGTTGGCAGGGTGATGTCTCTACTTTTTATCATGCTGTTTAGGTTCGCCATCGCTTTCCTCCCAAGGAGCAGGCGTCTTTTAATTTCATGGCTGCTGTCACTGTCTGCGGTGATCTGGGATCCCAGGAACGTGAAGCCTGTCACTACTTCCACGACTTCCCCTTCTATTTGCCAAGGAGTGATGGGGCCGGATGCCATGATCTTAGTTTTTTTGATGTTGAGCTTCAAGCTACCTTTCCCCTTATATGTCTGCAAGGGAAAGGGCTTAAGACTTACTTTTTCTTAAAACGAATGCTGGGAATCCACAGAACCTGTTACGTTTATTGTTGCAATGGTATCCTGATGTAACAATATTCTAGTGCTGATTTTTTTTAAAAAACAGGGGAAGGAAATGGCTGCCATGCGGATGGGAAGATCTGAATTTTCCCACCCATAAAGCATCTATCCAGGCTTTACTTCAATCTTTCCCAAAACTCTGGAGCAAAGCAAGTCAGAGAAAGACTGAAGGAAAAGCTGGGGGAAACCTGGGAGATGACAGATGCTGCGGGGAAGCAGGGAAAAAAAAACACACCCTGCTTCCCAACAGCACCGAATCCAGGGCAGATGACCTGTGCGGGAATCACCCGAGTGTTCTAAATGCTTCACGTCTTCTTTCCAGGCATTGTGTTCATTACTTTGAGCCAGGGCTTTTTCTCGGGTGGAACCTCTTTGACAAAATTCTTTTTAAAATGTTTAAAAGTTCATGAGTTTTCAGTATACAGGCTGAAAACATCGTCTCCCTCTTGAGAGTTCCGGCCCCTCTTTTCCCAAAAAGAAAAAGCCCTTCTTTGAGCATTTATATACCACCTCTCTCAAATTTCCAGGCAGCCTCCAGATATTCAAACAACCGATAACGGTAAGAATCAGTGGAACTAAAATCAAAATGGGTAAACACACACTGGCTAAGGAGTACAAAAAGAAAAAAAAAGAACAAGAGGGCTTTTCACCCAATGGGGGAAAAAAATCTGCAAGAGAACTTCCCCTGATAAGCAATTCTAGACGGCTGGAACCACTAGGCAGAAAGTGCATGAGAGTGCCTGCCAGAAATGTGGGGCCAACAAAAGCACTTGTTCACTGGATTTTAACCGACACAGCCCTGAAACAGCCTGCACAACAGCCCTGAAAGGTAAGCCAGTATTTTTATTCTTGTACAGGGTGAACACAGAGGCTTGCCTAAGGTCACCTGGTACATCACGTAGCACATGTGAGATTTGAATCAGTGACTCCAGGCGCCACAAGCTCTCTCTCTCGGCCTCTGTTGCCACACTCCTGCGCATACATTCCTCTGCATCAGCAGAGTCACTGAAGACATCAAGGCTCCAGAGAATGCCGGCCTCTGAGATAAAACGCAATCCCAATGGACCCATCCAGCCTAAGCAAAAACATATTTCATTAATATGACTCTCTGGTTCCGCTGACACCACGGTGGATTAGATGCAGCATAAATATGTACGATGGGATTCATTTTGTCTGGCTTACTTAAATAACTCCCTCATCCAGGGCGCAGAGGGCAGGCGTTTTTCCATGTCAGTGGCAAGAAGCCCTCAAGGCCTGTAATTCCACTTGCGTTTAGCATTTCCAGCAAGCTCACG